TTCAGCAAACAAAATACCATAACTACATCTTTCTACACTGTTTTTATCGCCACCATCATTCGCATGAGACCAGGCTGTGCAGAGAATCCCGCAGCGCAAGGTCCACGCCCCACCGGAGCCGCGGCCGCTCGGGATCGGCTTTGGCTCCCCGGGCAGGGCGTCCCGGCGGGGCAGGGATGCGGAGCGGTCCCTGCTGGGCACCGCCGGGGGCAGGCGGCGGCTCCATCCCCGCTCCGGGGCCTGAGCAAAGCCGCGTCCCCTCCGAGAGCCGCCCCGGCCCCCCGGCAGCGGCCGGGCTGCTGAGGGACGGGGGCAGCTCGCCATCCTCCGCCCGGGACAACGCCGCCCTGGGCTCGGGCTCGGCGGGCAGGACGGGACGCGCACTTACGAGAACGGGTCGGGGGCGAAGAAGTCCACGGCGAAGCCGAAGTAGCTGCCCGCCGGGCCCGAGTAGACGGCCGGGCGCTCCACGTCCAGGTTGAAGGCGCTGCCCGGGGCCAGCGCGGCGCCCAGCAGGAGCAGCACCGTGCCCAGGCGAGCCATGGCCCGGCCCCGCTGCTCCGCGGGCGCGGCTCTGCCGGGACGCGCCGGCCCCGCGCCGAGGGGGCGGAGGGGCCGCGCGTTTCCCGCGGCGGGGCGGGAGCGCGGCGCGGTCACTTCCCCCTTCTCGCCGGGACGGGGGCGGCAGGAAGGAGAGGCGGCATCATGTGGTGCCGGGGGCGGGCCCTGGCCGCTCCGAGCCCGGGCCGCCGCTCTCTTCCGCCGGGAGCGGGCGGGGAGCGCCCGGCACGGCACCGGCGGAACTACGGCCCCGGAGCTGCCCGCGCTCCGAGCATCCCACCCTTATCTCCGCCAGAGACGAAGGCTGGAGGAAGGTCAAGGAAATTCTTCCTTGTGAAGCCCCGGCACAGGTTGCCCAGCTGCCCCATCCCTGCCCAGGACACGGCTTGGAGCAACCTGGGATAGTAGAAGATGTCCCTGCCCATGGCAGGGGGTGGCATGAGATGGTCTTTAAGGTCCCTTGCAACCCAAACCATTGTACCATCCTATGAAAGAGTGCTAGAACTTGAAGAGGGGCACACGTCCGTGCCTGGTCTTACCAAGTCTGTTCGGTGAAGCCTTTCTGAACAAATCTTTCAGCAAAGCTGTTAAGCAAAGAGTGAAGGGAGTGCCAGTGTGGAGCCAGCCATGGAGGAAAAAAATCTCGATTTTCAAACACACGGGCTATTAAATTAAGTAATTTTAAATCCCAGGGTCCCAGCATCTCCCCAGCCACAGGAATGACCAGCAGCAGGTGCAAGGCAGGGAAGAGGGAACCCGCAAATCCTCCCTGATGGAGGTCCCTGTTACTGTTGCACCCCTGCACTACCCACCTAGGGAAGAACCAGGCAGTGCAGCTCCAATCTCTTCAGTTGCGGTTTGTAGCTCTTGTATCATCTCTCACTAATAACATTTTAGCACTATCATCCTGGCTCAGGCAGCTGCAGGTTGCTGGCAAACCCATCCTAGCCTTGCCCTCCTCAGCCGATAAGAGAGTTCAGCATCTGCTGAGTACAGATAGCAGTGTCTCAGGTAAAAGAAAACACAGTGAACACCTACAAAGAGCAAATAATTCATATTAATTTGTACAATGTAAAAGGACTGGAGTATATTGTCTAAAAAGTCTAAACTTTTTGCTTTCCACATTGTGAGCATGATAAAAAGGGACAGAACAAATAATGATGTTTCAAGCTTTAAATAAAAGTTAAAAATACCCCATACATATTTACCAAGGGACTGATTTAGTCTAATGGGAATCCCAAAAGAAAAACATTTCTACTATAAGCAGACAAAAACCCAAAGAATCACCAGCTACTCTTCTGTTCCATTCAATTGTTCATGCTATTAATTATCATTTCTTCAGGAAGTCACCTCAAAAATTCTATCAAGAAGGGGAGTTCCTATACATAAACTTGATACTTGTTGCTAATTTTTCTAAGTTTGCTGCCCACTCAACACGTTAAAAAAAACCTCACCCAACCAACCAAAGACAAACTCCACATTACTTTTATTGTTATTTACTGACTTACCTCAGAGCTTTTATACTACAGACCTGATCAAAGCAAAACTGCAGATGAGTTAATAAGTTTCCAAACATTAGTAAATAGGGCAATAAACTAAAAGAGTGGTTTGTGAGTACTTTGATCAGTAAGTCAGTAACTTAGGGAAAAGGAGGATTTATTTTCTCTACTTGATTGCATAACCTCACAACGTCACACAAGCAACAAAGGATAAATTATCTTTAAGATACTAGAATTTTTTTTTAACCAAATGATCAGTTTTGGCTTCCTAGAGACTGTATAACTTCACAACATCACACAAACAGTAAAGGATAAGATATTTTTAAGACACTAGATTTAATTAAACCAAATTATCAATTTTGGCTTCCTAAGGACTGTATAACCTCAGAACATCACCCAAGCAGTGAAGGATAAATTATCTTTAAGATACTAAAATTTTTTTAACCAAATGATCAATTTGGGCTTCCTAGAGACTGTATAACTTCACAACATCACAAAAGCAGTGAGGGATAAATTATCTTTAAGAAACTAGACTTTTTTTAACCAAATGATAATTTTGGCTTCCTAAGGACTGTATAACCTCACAACATCACACAAGCAGTGAAGGATAAATTATCTTTAAGAAACTAGACTTTATTTAACCAAATGATAATTTTGGCTTCCTAAGGACTGTATAACCTCACAACATCACACAAGCAGTGAAGGATACATTATCTTTAAGATATGAGAATTTTTTTAAACCAAATGATCAATTTTGGCTTCCTAGGGACTGTATAACTTCACAACGTCACACAAGCAGTAAAGGATAAGATATCTTTAAGACACTAGATTTAATTAAACCAAATGATCAATTTTGGCTTCCTAGGGACTGTATAACCTCACAACATCACACAAGCAGTGAAGGATAAGATATCTTTAAGACACTAGATTTTATTAAACCAATTTTGGCTTCCTAGGGAGTGGCTGCGCAGCGCTTCTTGTTGTCAGAAATTGCAAAGCCAGTCCATAGGAGCAACTCAGAGTCAGGGGCACTCATCCCTCATCCCAAACGCTTTTCACCCTTCAAGAGGGCTGTTCTTTCGCAGCTGCTCCGTGTGTTCCGTGCCTGCTCCGTGCCCCTTTGGGCTGTGCCAGGCGCGGTCTCCCCTCGCTGCCCTGACTCAGCCCCGCGCACCCGCTCCGCTCGCAGGGACTGAGTCACGGGCGCTGAGGATGCGGCGGCGGCGCTGCCGTCTGGCCCTAAGTCACACACACTCGGAGTCAACCGGTCTAGACAGCCCCAGAGCCGAGCCACAGCTCCCCGGATGGCATCACAGCCCCCAGCCTCCTCGTGGGAAAAGAAAATGAAGCGTACATGCTCGGGATGCGCTTCCACTCAAAGCCAATCTTACTGTAAATGAGGGAAAGTGAGTGATTGATTCCGTTGCTTGCATCGAGTTACCCTGCCGGACACAATCCTGTTTATGTAGAGCAGCAAACACCCTTCCAGTGAGGATGTGCTTTTCTTTCCTAGTTGGTTTAGTTCTCAGCATGACTAACGTATAGATAAGGAACAGCCAATGAGATCATATTACAGAATGTAAACAAGTTAATTATGTGTTTCTACATTTACTTGTTACCTTTACTTGTAGCTTTCAGTTCTCAGGCTAAGATATCCAGTGGTGAAAAGACAACTAAGAAGTGGGCAGCACTTGGATTGCTTCATAGACACCAAACTTTTTGATTATATTCAAAACAGAATGCAATTATTTAGGAATTGATTGGAGTCTAAAGACTGCAACTCTATCCAACAGATCAAACTCATATTTCTGTTACAAGTTATGGTCTTATTAGTTTTTATTCAGACAACAAGCTATTAATACAGCTGAATAAAACTTTGCAAGATGCAGGTTTTGTGGGTTTTTTTTTTGTTTGTTTGTTTTTTGTTTTGTTTTTTTTTGTTTGTTTGTTTGTTTTTTTTGTCTTTTTTTTTTTTTGGCTATTCCTGAGTGTCCAGCCTGTAACAGAGTATTTCAGAATGTTTCTCCTTTGAGTCTCCACCTCATGACAGGAAAGGTAGCAGCAAGGAAATGGACTAAGCGCCACAATTCAGTAGAAACTGCAAACATGCAAATCTGCAAACCACTGTGGTCCTACTTCAAAGGGTCAGCAAGAGGTCCTGTATGTAAGCAATAAACTTCAGCCTCCAAGTGGATTCGGTGCCTAACAGTACCAGAAGAATGAATATCTGGAGCAAAGGATCAGCACTCATTTATTCATCGAGACTATGAGTGTCCCAGAAAAGCCTTCATTGATGTAAGAGTTCGAGTATTTTGCTCTCATGCCATCCAGACATTTGGGCTTTTTAAGAAGCTTAGCTGCTCTGAACAGACCTTTTAAGAGGTAACTCAGTTTCTAACAAGGCAGTAGAAAGCAAAGTAAAAGATGGACTTCACATATTAGTTTGCTTTGGTCAGGTTACTTCTATTACTTCTATTTTGTTTAATATTATCTTTGATATCCATTGGGAAAAATCAAACATTACATCTGAAAACTGTGGAAGCATTCAGCGGTGAAACACAAGGAAACCACTAGAGATGTTTGGGCTTGATATGCTGTATTGCTCCTATGAGCAGTTCACATCAGCCAAATCTCATTGGGTTGTTAGCAAAAGCTGTCCTTAGCCCGGGGCTATGGGGCAATGCTTTCACAAGACTATGGCTGCTACATTTGTTAAACCAGCTCTTAGCTCAGTCTGAGATCTCCCAGGTCAAAAGGAAGTGAGCTGTACCCGGTTCTTTTCTGATTTGCTCAATATTGTCAGCTGTATTACCCCAGTGTTAGTCAAAGTCTTTCTGCAATAGCCCTTTTGTGTTTTATAGGGTGCCCATTACTCACCAGACCTTTTTTTAACATTAAGATTTCACAGCATCAAATTCAGGAACAGCACTACTTGATTTACCCAAGGATTCATATTTATTCAGTCTGACAAAGCTGGTCATTATAAATCATACGTGACTCAGTTTTTGCTTCACAAAGCACTTCAGCAGATTACCAAACAAATAGATCCAGATGCTGCTCAGTAACACCCCCAAAGACTTAGATATTTTTAAAAGATATTTTTAAAGAGTACTTTCCCCCTAGAAAGAAATTTTGACAGGAAACAATGCAATAAGGGAGAAATCAGGAAAAAACCTAAACAACAAGCTCCATAATATTCTCTGCACCGTCTCTCTGAAAATGTTTCCATAATATGATGCATATAGAAGGCGTAAGGGAAACAAAAAGCTAAATACCACCCTGCTCTGTTAAAGAAGAGGGTGTGGGAACACACCAGCCCAGAGGGAAAAGCCTAGGAAGTCACCACACCTATGCCCAGGAGTGGAGTGCAGTGCTCTTGAGTAATCACAGTGATGGAGCTGCCAGGAGAGAGCCATGGAGACAGGGGGCTCTTGGGTCTCCTGGTGGGAAAGGTCTCAGGAAAGCTTTTTAGAAGGAGATGAAGAGAATTTGCTAATCTAGAGAGAGTGTTGGAATTGGCCTTCTTCTCCAAGAGTGGGAAAAGATATGGAACATTGAAATCAACAGGCTGTGCACTTGTCTCACATGAAATAAGTGTATTGTGTATGAAAGTTCTGTACTTCTGCTTCTCCCATCCCACTGAAATGTCTGACCTGGCACAGCAGCTGTGCAGCCCATGAGATGGAAAGCTCCAGCTCCCATGTGAGTTACTCCTGCAGTGACTGTTCCTTTACAGGTGAATTCCATTGCACAGAACTGCACCTGGAGCTGCACTTCTTCCTAATCCACCCTTCTGCCTGTATCCAGCAAAGCTTGTAAACACACAACAGTCACAATTAATACTGGAGTGCTAACAGTACACTTGATTAAACAAAGAGTCATCCCTCCTGTTATGAACAAAAAAAAAAAAAAAATTAAACTTTTGGGGAATGTTGTTAACAATAACTGGCCTCCTTTTTTTGTTACTTTAAAGTTTTCCTTGTAAGCCTGTCCATAACACCTCCCATCTCTTCTTCACTCTCTCCTCCACTTCTTTCTGCCTTTCCTGGAAGATCCACTGCTTGCTGGATGCCATGAATTTTAACTCTTACCCTTTTACATTCACAAAGACCCTCCAGAACATGCTGCTTTTATGAAGTTCCCTGAAGGTGAGAAAGAGGTTGCCATCATCTTATTCTTAGTTATATCCTAATCTCCTCCCTAAGAACCTTTTCTTCTTTTTCCTGCCACTGTTTTCATACTATTTTAAGTACTGTCCTTTCTGCTGAGTCCATCATCCATGGCAAGTGTGCACCCAGGTTTTATTTAGAAAGCGGAAATGCCTATGTCTGGCAGAAAATCTTGTGGAACAGTATTCTGCTGAGACAAAGAGTAACAAAGCACTTCCCCCTCACACAGGCTCTATAAGCACTGGGTCACTTTCTAGTTTATTTCCATTTATGGAGAATTTCCAGATGACAAGAGGCATTTCCTAGGTTTCTTGCATTCTTGACTGCTTCTGGTTATACAGAAATACCAGAGACCACTGCTTCCTGTTGTATTCCTGAGATAGTGTTATCCCTGTCTTTAGTGCAAATCATCTCCTGTTTAGTACAAATGACAGCTTCTTATGTACAACTTTTGAATCTTTCCCCCAAACTTTCTATTTTTTTTTTTTTCTATTAACTTTTTGAGTTTTTCTACAGTGTTTTTCATCATGCATTTTCAAAGGAATCTAACAAGGCTCAGTCTCACAGAGCATGTTGGCTTTGTAATTGATCATTCCAGGCACATAATGCCACATCTGCCTTGAAGCATCTGTCCTCCAGTGCTCCTGTATTACAGCAATGCTTCCACATTCCTGTTGAAGGATTTGGAACAAAAAAAAGTTTAAAACGTTCAAATTCCCTGGGAAAGGAATCATTCTTCAGGCTGCTCTGTGTTTAGTAACAAGCTCAGACTTTAAACATGTTGAAGACTTAGACAACAAAATAAGAACAGGATGCAGGGCATGAAGGATTGAAAGGCAGTGGAGGAATAGAGTTCCTTTCTATCCAGTACTCTGAATATTCATTTACTCAAATACAAAAGCAGTATAAGATGGTAATAACATGAACTGACACTGAGAGAGATATTTCCTTCCCCTTGTCTCTCAAGAAGCATTTCAAGTGTTTGAGCCTAGGCATTCTCCACATTGATATGCCAGCTCAGCCATAAGCTCCAGCCTCCTGCCTTCAGGAGACACCTCACCATCTTCAGAATGCCCCAGAATTCCTCCCCCTTCCTTAAGCAGAAGTGCCCCTTTCTCCCCAGAGAACCCCAACTCCCCCTCACCTTGAAGCCATGATATTTTGATCCACTGTGGCCAAGGAACACTGTCCTGTCTGGCATTAATATTAAACCAAAGCATGTCCTTATCTATAAAACATGGTACATTAGTGACCGTGCCATTGTTGAGTAACATAACAAAAACTTCCCTCGAGGAATAAAACTAAACACAGACCAAGACATAATCAGACCTTTATCCATTCTAAAAGAGGGTTTGGCCAGGGCAGTGAGAGGTGGGGGTGTTTGGTTTGTTTTCAAATTTGTACTATTTGCTTCTAAGCCATCAGCCTGCCATTGCCAGGGGTCACTCCAGTAGAGTCCCAGCTGGGCACTGCTGGTGAAAGAACTATTTTTGCATCTAGCAAACAGAAGTTACTGCTGACAACAGTTATCAGTGGTGGAAACTACAGACACTTCCATGCCCTGAATAAAGAGCACATTTAAGCTTTTCCCTTTTTGCCCTCTTGGGGGAAGATTCCTCATTCCACTTGTCCTGGCTGCCCATACAAACAAATAATGGGCACTTATTCATGTATAGCAACTGCTGTGCAGAACTGGAACTTGGTATTTCTGTGTGGAAGGCACTGTGTGGGTACTGCCATGTACAGAAAACAGACTTCTATTGTCAAGAAAATGACTGAAGAGTTTGTGGTGTAGGGCTGATAGTGCTGACAAAGTGCAGCTTTGCCACCTCCCAGGAGCTTATTCAAGGAAATAGTTCACAACAGTGAAACCTTTACAGTTTATGGTTTCCTCTAATTTAGTCTGTCAGACATTTGAAGAAATAGTTTTTGCTCTATTCCTTCTGACCAGCTTTCCTAATCCTCCTTACCTCCATTTGATAAACAAACCCCTGAAGTGTTTAGAAGCACACCTTAGGGAAGCACCCTGCTGAGGATACCAGGCCTGTGCAGGGGGCTCACAGGGAGAAGGCAGCAGCTGCCTGCACCAGGACTGCTGGGCTAGCTGATATGGATGAGAGAGGTCAGTCAGAAGAGCCTTCCTTCCCCTGTGTTTATACTCAGCAGAGGGAGAAGACAGCAAGAGAAAGTGATGAAGAATGAAGATTAAAGGTTTCTAACCTAGAAATTTGGCTATTATCTGATTTTAAGGAGGCATTAAATTGCAACTATGGAATTTTTGAAGCGGAAGTCAATTTTTTTCTGAAGCAGTCTACTGCTTCTAAAGGAAAGAACTAAACTACCTGTCATGTCAGAGATCACTAAGATTGATAAACAGTGCTTGAGAGCTTGCAATGGATTTGTATTACTGTGCTGAGACCAAACTACCACACCCTCTTTGGTCCCATCAGAGCACAGGAAGGAAAACCAAGGGAATGAAACAGAAGTGGAGGTGGAACACAAAGCGGACAAAAATTCTTCTAGAAGAGCAATCCTGTCAAAATATACTGTAGAGGCCTGAGATATACAAGTTATAAACTGATTTCCTGCAAGAGATGTGCTACATTCATATTATGTGCTGATACACAGTTTCATTCAAGCACAGGCCCATGGATGCAGCCTCCATAGAATACATTTCCTTGATGATACATTGAAAGAACATTGTTTTGCCTAGGGAACCTTCTATAGTATTGCTTCTGCTTTTTTCCTTTTCTAAAGGAAATCTGTGATGCTTTCTTTGCCATGGTTTCTTTCTTCAATGTAGGAGTCTGTCTCATTTCTGAAGTAAACTCAGGGACTGCTTCTAGGTTTTAAGCCAGCCTTACTAAAATTTAGGTCCAAATGTATTACACACTACATTTTCAACCACAAATGTAAGATAAAGAGATTACCTCCAAGGTCTCTTTCCCTAAACACAGACAAAATGCTGCTGCTGCTATTTTATGATTGAAAGAACTGATTATTTTTGGCATTCATTTCAATAATGTGCAATGAAGGAGCCTATTGTGGTCACATATTAGGGCTCTAAAATCATAAATGAATAAAACATCTTGGCCTTATTGCTAACACCAGCAACAGCTGCTCTCTGTAAAAAGACAGAGCATCCATTGAAAGGAAGAAGTAAGTGTGACAGGCAAAGCCAAGGTCACTTCTAAGCCTGCAATACCAGTGTGGGGGAAAAAGAAAAGGGTCACGTGCACATATCAGTAAAAGCACTTAACTTGATCACAGCTCCAAAAAATACACCTGGTACCTTACCAGAAGCAGACTTGATTCAAATGCTTCATTCATGAAGCATTTGCTTCACAAAAGATTCTGCTCATTAGAAGCCCATTTATAGCAAAAAAGCAAGTATGTCAAGAGAAAGCTTTTAATTTAGAAGAAAATCTGCTTCTAGCACTGAAGATATTGAGTTCTTCACAAGTGAAATACATCAGCTTCTCTTTTTACACCCCCTTTCTCTATTTGGCTTCAAGTCAAAGCAAAGCACAGGATGTGACTTCCTGGAAGAATCCAAGCTAGCAGGAGTCATGTTCCAAATAAGATGTAGTAGAGGTGTGGAACTCCTGAGTTTCCAGAAGCTGGTTAGAAAGTCGAGGGATTCAAGGGGGAAAGAGGGAATGTACTCTGAAAAGAAAGGCCCCACAGGCTCCATCTAGCAGAGGAAATGTACCAGATCAGGAATTGTTGGAAGCTCCATGAGAGAAGTGCTCTTGAGCAGTGTACAGGCCTCTCCTTCTCCCACCTCTTTGTTCCTCAGGTGTCTCATTTTGGGAGTGTTATAAACAGTCCCTTGGTCTGATGCAGTGCAGCTGCTGTTACAAGGGTTTTTGCAGCTTCTCTGGCCTTCCCACATCTCATTTTTCCAATTCTGTTCCAATTCATATTCATTCCAGTTCTTATTCAGGGGATATTTTTTCCTGACACACTTCAGGTGAATATGTATGTGATGTTGGCATATGAGAACAATCCGTTCCTCTCAGCTGAGTGCTGTAATAATTTCACTGTGAGGAAAACAAAGACGCAACTTTGAAGGATTTTTAGCTTACTTGCTTAAACACTCTGCAATTTCAGTAAGTTATTACAAAACAGCACATGGAATAGGAATAACAAATGATGTCTATGAAACCTCCAAGTATGCTATTTGCATGATATATAAGCTTACCAAAATTAAGTCTGCATTACTTACTATATTCAGGTAATTTTTAAAAGGGGCATTAGCATTGCAAAAGAATTAGAATTCAGCATTCAGAATGTCTTGAATTCAGCATTCAGGACACAGCTTTTTGACAGCTGTTATTCCACATCCAACTAAACTGTGAAAGAAAATATGAATAAAAACATACTGATTTGAATGTGTACATTCTTTCTGTAACCAACACACTAAAACAAACAATCTATTATGAAAATACTGAATTGCCAAGTTAAGTACCACTGCTTGGTCCAAAGTTTTATCAATAATAAAACCTCCTCTTGATAAAAACAGTGGGGGAGCACTTTCCATTAAGAAATGGCAACACTTCTATTACAAGCAATTCATAGATAATGTAATATTTAAGGTCAGTCTTGACAGTTTTTTGCAGGCCTTAGTGAAGAGTACTCATTACAAAAACCAGGAGGGAGCTGTGAGCAACAAAGCAGTGGCAAGCATAAAATTTAATCACACAGGCTTTAAAAAACTCCCAGAACTTCAAAGAATTTAAAGCTAGCCAGTTTCAGCAGCTCATGCAGTTTGTGTGTGTGACTGAAATGGGATTTTAATACACACCAAAATTGAAAACCAGCCAATACTCTACTCCCACAACAGCAAGTAGCAGGAAGCAAAGGCATGGGTTTACTGCAGCACCTTTAACTGGTTTTGTCCCCCAACATGTCCAGTACCAAAGGTGCTTTCCAGGCAGTGCTACACCAGTGTGCTCCCTCAAGACTTGCTCAGGCCACAGCTGCATTTCTCACGGAGTGCTCATGGGAATTAGGAGCAACACAGGGTGATGCCAACACCGGCCCAGGCTGCAAGGGATAGAAACCAAGTTTATTGCAGAAGTGTTTCTCACCTGCTTCTCTCATGCTTCACAGCCTGAACTGAGCCTGCCTGCTCTTTTACCAGTGAAATACTGTACTTTTGACCCCTACAGACTGGTAGTCACTGAAATGAAGATACCATTATTTTTCCATTGAGATTATATCTCATTCTTCCAGAAGTGACTCATTGACTTTTATCACAGTAATTTCAGGAAATGTGCATCAGTAAGAACTTAGTGACATCACATCCAAGTGAACTCCCTTCTATACCACTGCTCATTTCCTGAACATTAATAATTCATCTAGCCCAAGCAATGCCTTGGCATTCATTTTCAACTGAACATTTATTGACTGAAACCCCATTAGCTACAAATCCAAGCTTCTTTAAATGAGAAGATGAAGAACTTTTAGCAGCCCCTATGAAAGCAGAAGGAACATGTAGCAGCATAGGGTTCCCTACCCTCCGAAGTCTGAATGCTCCCCTGACAAAGGGCTCCTGAAGAGCAGCCACCCTGCTTTCATGGTAGGAAATCTGGGCAGAGGAAGCCCAGCCAGGAGCTGTGCCAGAGTGAGTGGAGAGGAAAAAAGAGTGAAAACCAAACAGGGACAGCCAGCTATTATTTCCTGCCCATGTGAATTCATCTGTCAACAGCAAATGGTCAGGAAAATCAGGTTTTCTTCAGCTAGCCTACAGATGTTCAGTGGATTTCAGTGCTATGCGGGATGAGCGTCCAAATGTTTAAATGACACCTGTACAAAGGAGTCGTGCAACACAACCATCCTTTTAGACCCAAAAGGGCACACAGGCACGCTCTGCCTATCCATCAGGGTTTTATTAGCTGAAATTCATGAGTCACCCTGACATTTCTCCATGGTAAAACTCAAGTAATGTGAACAGAATGTTGGCAAAGATTTAAGCTATTTACATCAGTGAAACAGGTAAGTATTATCAAAAGGAGTATTATATACAATAAACCAATCCCTAAAACACAAAACATAGAAAGCCATTCTCTTCCTTGATAATGATTAAATTACTTTTATTCCCATTTAAAATATACAACTTTGAAAATTTATGCAACATACATTCAAATGAATTGCATTCTTAAGTGTCCTGATAACCAGGCATTCTATTGCTGGCCAGTATAATACAATAGTCCATCAACTCTGTTTATTTATGGCCACAGGAGAAAAATCTGCATAAATAAATCTTTATATCTGATAGTGCAGCTTTTCCTTAAACACATTTAGAAGTCACTTTCAGTAGGCCTCTTTCTCCTAAGCACTGCTTCTTGTTCCTACAGGAAAAAATGAATTCCACAATGATCCCAAAAAAGGCCAAAAATTCTAAGTCTGCTATTTTAGAAATAGCATTCAAGATACAAGAGTCAATTCAGCAGTGCCAGAAATAACCAGTAAAGCTAATATTACCATCCAAAAGCAGTTTGGGAAAGCTCTCTAACAATGCCATAATTCTTACTGGTCTGTAAGTACAGATTTAAGAGCTTTAGAAAAATCAATATACCAAGGGTATCATCAGTACAGCAGGACTGTGGTGGACACCACAGGGAGTATGGCAAGGAGGAGCAGCTCCCTGGAAAAGCACCACTGCTGAGAAATCTTTGTGGCAGACACTCAACGCACTGGAAAAGGACACACTGAGACTTGGATCAAGTGCAGTCTGCAGGGTACAGCACCTGAGGCAACTTACCCCTGTACAACTTCCTGTTATCTAGAGGACACCAAAGGGATGACAGGCATGTTTTGGGCTGTAACTTCCCTGCTCTGCAGAGCCTGAGGTCTTCACTAATCTACAAAAGACAGTGGGGAGAGAATGAGACTGGAATAGCAGTCAGTGATGTATAGCAGGTATTACATCAGTTAATGGGCGGGCAGGGGATAAGAACAGCAAGGGAGAAAAGCTGGCTGCTGAATTTTACACTGCATCAAGAGCAGACAAACAACTATAATGGCAGCTAGCCCAAATTTAACTGAAGCCAACATCATCACTTCTGTATCAAGACTGCAGAGAAAAACATCTACCACTCCATCAGAAAATCCGGTTCTTAACAGTTTGGTATGATATCCTAACTTAGCAGAGAAAAATCAACACAGATATTTTAAAGTTGATAATTTTTATTTACAGATTTATTGGCAAAAGGTGGTGGGAAAGTTTAAAACATTTTAAACAGAGGGCACCGTACTGGTATTGTATGAAATATCAGTTCACAATCTTCAGTATCCAGCTGATCAAATAAAGCTAATCACCACTTAAAGAAGCATAATCTGCATCAGCTCCATTAGAGTACCATGCTTAAAAACCACTTCAGGCAGTTTCTAAATCAACACAATCACTAATAAAAATGCAGTTTTGGTGAAGAATGTATACTTGTATTTTTGTACTGTACCTTATGTCAAATTGCCCACTTGCATACTGGCAAAGCGATTACACTTCCTACTCTCAGATGGAAGTTTTAATCTCTCTGTCTGCAAATTCAGCTGTCAGGTAATTCTGAACTACTCTTAACATTTTACTGTGAGCATAGCCAAGACTGGAGTAGATGAGATTGAAAAAAACATTCCTGCTTTATCACGTGCCCATCATATTCAGCTGCATAACCATAAACATCTTGTTTAAGAATTCTATTCAAAAAGGAGAAAAAAATGTAGTCAGTTTTCACATAGGTTTAATTCCTCACTGGAGCTTTTTAGTTCATTCTTCTAAATCAAGAGTGTTTAGTTCTTCTTCTAGTTCATCCAAGTCCTCTCCCGTAAAGAGATTTTCATCAACTGGAACTGCATCAATGACTCCATTTTCCAAGTCCCCATCTCCATCATTATCTTCCTCTAAATCATTTTCCTCGCTGTTGTTTATATCACCACCAGAAGCTTCACTTAATTTATTATCTGAAAATAAACATAATTCTCAGGCATTTCAGTGTCACAAGCTTCTTAATCACCAATTGAATCCACAATCCTACTAAACATGCGTTTACAACTATCAATAAGCTACTTTATTTGAAATTCATACAGACTTATATTGGCCAAAATGCATGTACCTGGTTAATATGCAAGGCTGGATAATCAACTATGAAGACAGGTTGGAAAAAATTACAACTTACCATCCATTTCTACTGAAGTGTATGTGCTGAATCGCTCTGGACTAGCCACTGTAATACCAGTCTCCTCTACTGCCTTGGGGACATACAGGTTCAAATCTATATCATTTATGCACACAGGGTCTTCCATCTGGAAAATTAACCAAGATGCTCTGAATGAATTACTTTTCCACAAAAATCCTCACTTCTGCAAGATTTCTACAACATTTGTCACCTTCAACAGGACCTTCTGATAAAATATACTCTGTGGCAGTATTAACAACCAAGCTTATCAATTTCATTGTAAGGGCTTTCAAGCTGACATTTTTCAAACTTGAATGCAATTCAAATATTCTTTGATTTAATCCTGTTTCCTTTACCTCATCATCATCTCCTGCTCCTTGAACATAATGTGTGTCATCTGCTTCTTCATCATCTGCATCAACCAACTCTGGCCGGAACTCAAATACTTCACGTCCACTGATCTATTCACAGCAAAAGAAACCTTCAGTTATCACTTCATGGAATTTACACTGCTTACAAAAACCCACAAGCAAACCACAAAAAAGGAAACTAAAATGGCACACAATAATAAGCAAAACTATTTCAGGCCAGCTACCCCTTCACAAAACTTTATTTAGTTGCTCTTCTTACAATTAAGAATTGGACTGTAAAACTTACCACCAATGCTTTGCCAGCTTTAAAATCTGCTTTCCTCCTCTCCATATCTTGCTCAGCCTTATCAATTTTTTCTTGTCTTTTTCTTCTCTTCCATGCAATAAAACACTCTAGAGTAATTTTGGTAACATTTGGTCCTAAGGCAGCACGCTGTCCAGAAAAGAGGCTGATTAATGCTAGAAACTCTTTCCAAAGGCTATAACAAATTGTATATTTAATTACTCTTTTCTTAACATTTGACTCAACATGGGATTTTCTAGTTAGTGAGACGAGTTAGCATGAAAATGTATAGGAAAAGTGGAGGAGGAAATAAAGACAAGAGCTCAGCTCTGCTCAAGTTACACTGCCAAGCAATGGGGACAAAGTAGCAGAACAGTAACACCTTCAGAAGGTCTTGTGCTCTTGGTGTTGCTGCCTCATTAGAGAGTTAAGGAGACACTGAGCTGGGGATGAGAAAAGCCACAGAAGAAATTGTAATGGATAAATGAGAAACAGCATTTAAGAAATGGAAGCCTCCTAAAAAAGGGGTAAGCAACAGCTGCACTAAGTATGGAGCTATAATTAATTCTATTCAGTAAATAATAGTTTCTAAACAAAACATGAAACAATGCTATGCATCCTTTGCCCTAGCTTATACAGCTCTAAAAACATCTAATAGTTTTTTATTATAAATTAGTAAATTTTTTAGGCATCTCTTCAGAGTAATACAAGCAGCTACCACCAAAAGATAGCTGTCTAACAACTTTACCTCTTTTTCTATTAAATCTTCTAAGGAAATTTCATCTTGCTTTTCTTCCTTCTTTTTGTCTTTCTTTAGTACAAAGCCTGGAGGGAGGGCATGGCGATACATACAGTTGTCTCCTCCACCTGGACAGACCCAGAACCATCCGTATTTGTTGTTCTCAATAGCATCAAGGAAGTATTTGCAGACCTGTATAAAACCAGTGGTTGTTAGCACTGTGTCCTCTTTCCATCCCCAGCATTTTACATCCCTTGTCAGAAATTCAGTAAGTCCAACTCAGCTGTGCTCGGAACAGAAGGAACATGTGAATTACATTGCTACTAAAAATAGTAGGCAAAGTAGTGCAACTGAGTATCTAAAACTCATGTAGTCAACAGCTTTTGCTTCCTCAATATGATTCCAATTAAAGAAAGACAAGATGACAGAAGACCTGGCAACTCTGCACTTCTGTAAAACCAGCAGCACATCTCTTTCTGCTCACCAACATTGGTGCAGTTTTAAACAACACAAATTGCATCTGCCTCCCATGTTGTCAAACCTT